AAAAAAACACTAAGAAAGTTCAGTTACGTTTTGGATAGCACCTTCGGGACACAGAACTGAATGGGCTCCAGAGGGAATGGGGGGATTTCCCAGGGGCTTTGCCACATAATCATGGTCACATCCTGGAACCATAAACCAACTGAGGCTTTGGACAGGATCAAGCTGTGCAGCTTCTCATGACTCATTGCTCCCAATAATCCCTCTGGTTTTCAGAGAAGCTGCGGGTTCTCAAAAGGACTGAGAGACACTGCTTAGAACACCACTGGAGGAAAACGAGGGATGAAGCTGATTGGACATGGCTTAGAGCAGACATGTGAAACACAAGGCCCGGGGGCCGGATGTGGCCCGCAAAGTGGTTTCATGTGGCCCACGAAGCCATCCTGGAAACAGTGAGGGAACGGCCCCTACTGCCTTGGCCCTGGCCCAGGCTGGCCAGGAGCCAATGTACAATTTTGTGGTGGCCATCTATGCTGAAAGGCATTCAGTCTTAGCTCCACAAGACCGTCTGGAACCAGCGAGGAACCAGCCCCTGCCATGTCGGCCCCACCCCCTGGGTGCATGCTAGGGAGGTGTCACCCTTTGTGAGGAATGAAAAAATGCACCATCGCCTGGAAGTGGCCAGCAAATGGCCCTCACCTACTTCACATATCCGGCTTGATGGGCTCTGCCCTGGTCCCACCCCTTTCTGCCAGAGATCCTCAGATCTGTCCCACTCCTGCCCAGGCCCCCACAGGCACCCTTGACGCGAATGATGTAGAGCTGACCACACCCACCCAGTAGGCTACACCCACTCCACCCATGCCCACCCAGTAGGCCACGCCCACCCTGGCCACACACCCCCCCCGAGGGCAACCGCAATGCTGATGCGTCCCTCAATGAAATTGAGTTTGATACCCCTGGCTTAGAGCTACTATTAAGGCCTACCTTGTGGCAATAAGAGCAGTGAAACACCATTATTTATCCACTCTGATTGCGTACAGGTCAGTTCTTCTTCAGAGCCATGTAGCTGTGGAACACCTGACAGAATAGCTCAGATTCGTTCCCAGTTGGAACCCATGTGTAGTGCAGGTCCATGTGAGATGCCTGGGGAAAACACCTACCCAGTTACTGGGAACAGTTTGGTCCTATTGGACCTGATGAAGGGAAGAGTCTTCAGTACTATCAGTGCAACCACCTGTCAATTATATCCTTGTTCTTCCTGGTTGGTGAAAGCCTCCAGGACAGTGGCAGTCAGGTGAGTTCAAGCAGTGATAAATTCTTCACTACAGGAGGAGACATTTTCAGGATCTTTTCCCCCCTCCTTAAAAAAAAATCTGTTTACCCCTTCTGTCTGGACAAGTTCTATACTGTTTCCCATCTTTCCCTTTTTAACCAGATTTCATGCCCAGTTATGGGACAGAAACAGCATTGGTCACACTTGCAGACAATCTCTAGTGGAAGTGAGATGAGAGTAGTGCATCCATCCTTACTCTCCTTGACCTTTCAGTAGCTTTGATACCATTGACCATAGTATCCTTTTGAGTCAACTGCAAGGTTTGGGGCTGGGCAACCGTCTTGCACTGTTTTGGTTCTCTTCTCCAAGACCAGTACCAATCAGTACTAATAGAGAGTGAGAGGTCCAGTGGACAGATGCTCCTTTGTTGTGTGCAGCAGGGCACAACACTCTCCTACTCCTTCTGAACACTTACATGAAGCCCCATGGGATGAAGTGCTGTCAGTATGCTGGTGATACTCAAGTTTACATTTCCATCCTGGGTTAACTACCCCCCCAGACAGACCCATGAGGAATCTGGGGGATCTCATGCACTTGCAACTCCTGCTCAATGAGCAGATGGCAGCTGTGCCTAGGAGAGCCTTTGCACAACTTGTTGTGCCCTTTCCTGTGCTCAGTTATTCAAACTCTGATCATTTCAGGCTGGGACTAATGCAATGTGCTCTATATGGGGTTAATCTTGAAGAGTATCCAGAAACTTCAGCTGGTGCAGAATGCAGCTGCACAGACAAATCTTCAGGCCCTACGGTGGCCCATATTACACCACTGTTCCACAAGCTGCCCTAACTGCTAGTTTGCTTTTGGGCCCAATTCAAGGTGTTGGCTATCACCTTTAAAGCCCTGCATGGCATGGAGCCAGGCTATCTGAGAAGCCAGCTCATCCCAATGGGATTAGACTCCTCCACCTTCACCAGCAGAAGGGGCATGCTATGGACCCCGTCAGCCAAGGCATTTCAGCTGGTGGAGTCCAGAAGAAGAGCCTTCTCTTCTGTGGGCCCCACCCTCTGGAATATCATGTCCTCAGAGGTGAGATCCGCCCCCACTCTTTTGGTCTTCCAAAAGGCCTTGAAGACATAGCTGTGCCAACTAGCACAGGGCCCCAATGGAGATGTGGCACTTTGGAAGTGGGTAGTCCTCGACTTATTCATTCAGTTTATTTAGTAACCATTCAAACTTACAATGACACTGAAAAAAAGTGATTTATGACCATTTTTCTACACTTACAACCACTGCAGCATCGTCATGGTCATGTGGTCAAAATTCGGATGCTTGGCAACTAGTTTGTATTTATGATGGTTGCAGGTCATGTGATCACCTTAGGCAACCTTCTAACAAGCAAAATCAGTGGGAAAGCCAGATACACTTAACTGTGGCAAGAAAGGTTGTCAAATGGGATTAAATTCACTTAACAAATGTCTCATTTAACAAAAGAAATTTTGGGCTCAATTGTGGTCATAAATCAAGAACTACCTGTAAGTAACACCCTGCTTCCTTCCTATCTTCCGTTTGCTCCCTCCCTCGCCATCCTGTCTAGTTTTATTTTAAATGAATTTTAAATGTATGATCCTTATTGTTTTAATGTTTTAATTTTAATTTACTGTAAGCCATCTAGAGTAGTCTCTGGAGAAAGGGTGGTATATAAGTCTAATAAATAAATAATAAATAAAATCCATGGTTTATGTTTGATTTTTCTTAGAAAGCTTTTTGTGAGGTATAGGTATAGAGACCAGACCTCAGATCAAGGAGAATACGAACCACTCATAAAATTCTAATATTGAAAAAGAAAAAAGACTAGCTTTGTTCTACTTCCAAATAAATAAACACAATGAAAGCAAAAACATGACTCAGCTCTTAAAACAACCTCATCCGATCAGAGCTCTGGAACCAATTTTGAAGTGACACGAGGACCTCTTATGGAGGGGCTATGATCACTATTGTTCTCAACCAGAACTGCTAACCAAATATTTTTATTTCCCTCTCTTTATACACATGTAAAATATAAAACATGAATATCTATCCAAAGCTAGCCAGACACTCCTTCTTTACAGAGATAATCTGCTGCTACTTATCACATTTTGAATCTATCTTGTTCATATCTTTTTTTGACAAGATGTGTTTCAAAGAGAAAGTAGCTGTTCTTAACATTAGAATTTTGTCTCATTGGGCTTCACTTAGAGAATTTCATTAGTTCACTATGACTGAACATTTTTTTTAAAAAAAAAAGCATGCTGCCCCTAACTGTAAACAATTCCCAACCCTTTAATGAGAGATAGCATGAACAAACCCATTTGTCATACTGAAGTTGTATTAATCTTTTATAATCTTTTAATATTTAAAAAAAGCAAAAGCAGTTCTTGAACTTTTTCTTACACAATAAAATTCCTAGTGACTGTTTGGGAAGACACACCCACTAATTACTCACATTTCATGCAGATACTAAAAGAAGGAAGAAAGGAAGAGTCCTCTCATCTGGAATAAAAACAGTTATTCAGAAATCTTATGAAGCTCGTGCTAATATGCAGATAAACAGCCAGGTAGCTGAGATCAAACAGATGCCATCCAAAGAATGTGGTGCATTTAAAAATAACGTCCATTTCCTTTCTCCACAACTTCAGAGTCAACATCTCTTTGGCATGGTTGGCTAACAGGGCAAAGTTTTCACATTATTCATGCATTTATTTATTCAATTTATGTAGCCCATCTCAGCTAACTGATTCTGGGTGGCTTACAACTGTATACTATATGGTGTGTAGATAAATCTCAAGATCCCAAGACAAATTTCACATCCTATGACACATATCAGGCAATAGTTCAAGGGCGCCTTAGTGCTCTTAAGGGACTCAAAAGAAATAACATTTTGTATTTGATCTGTAAACAATAAGATAACCAGAGGAAACATTATTTATCAGGAAGGAAATAGATACTGCCAAAAGCATGAGTAACAGCACATGGTGTGACCCTCATTTCTAAATGCAATCAAATATATCATAGTGGGTCAGGGCCCTGCACTATTTCAATCACCTAAATGGTTGTTTTATAGACATAAGAGAAAAAGAATACATAAATCCATTTCCCCTTACATCTCATAAAATAATGAAACTCCAGACGCACCTAGCTATTTGTCCAGAAAACTCCGAACCACCCAACCCAACCTGGTTTCTATCCACAGGGGTTTGAAACAGTTGGTGACAGCAAAGACTTTTTCAGAGAGACAGATTCATTTCCATAAAAGCAGGGCGGTGGATCAGCTTAACTCCAACCAGCTTTTCCTAATTGCAAACCTTCCAGACACGTTGAACTTCGACTGCCATAATTTTCAACCCCCAGGAAATAAGTTCCAACACATGTAGGAATTCAATAGGTGGGGAAAGACTGCAACTTTCACCCTCTTTGCATGACCACCCAACAACCCCCACCAGCCTGTTGAAGCCAGCCGAAGGAAAAGCGTGGCTGTATCTGCACCGAGGCTGTTCTGCTGGGTCAGCCGAACCACGTTTTAGCCAATCAACCCGACTTTTTGGGTTTGAGGCTCAAACTGGGCTGGGTTTTCTATGGCCCGACCCCAACCATCCCCGAAGTGGCTAGGGGGAGCAGACGCCGGGGTAGCCCTCCAGGATCGCTCAAACCCGGATCCACTTTCTCTCGGGGAAGCCGGTCACTCCCCACAGACAAGCCGCAGGGAACCGGAGAAAGCCAGCCGCTGGAGCAGCAGCCCCCCTTCACTCACCCAGGCGGGAAGGTCTCCCGTGGAGACGGTGAGTCGCACCGCCCGCTCCTCGTCTTGCAGAAAGGCGAGAGCCCGGCCCAGGCGGGAGCTCTTTCCGCCCCGGTGCCGCTGCACCCAGAAGAGGCATAACAAGGCGGCCAGGACCCAGCTGAAGCTCAGCCCCAGATAGCCCAGCAGGTAGATGGGAAAGACCAGCGCGAAACTCCGTGCGAACTGCGACAACAGCCCCGGCAAATCGACGCTGAGCATCGACGGTGGCGACGGAGGCAGCTCCGAATCGCCCTCGGGCCCTCCCGGGCTGGCCCCAGGGGCCGGGGGCGGCTGAGCCCCTGCGCCACTCATACTCTCCGCGGGGCTACGGTCCCTTCCTGTGGAGCGGCTGCCGCTGAGGCGCTGGCGGAGGACGGGAAGCGAGGGAGGGCGCGGACGGGGCTGGCGGAGGCGTCTCCACGCATCTCCCTCCTTCCCTCCCAGCTCCCGCCTCGCAGTTGCTGAGGGACAACCACGGCCGAATCCCGCCCCTCCTTCGGGTACGCGCTTCCGGGTTCTGAGGGAGGCGGAGCTGACGGGCTCGGAGTGAACCATTCACGAGGGAGAGGGGAGGCTGGGGCTACCAAGGTTAGAGGGGGGAACTGACACGTAGAATTTCTCTCTAGGACGATCGGGACGGTAGGCATTTCTCCCTGGGACAGTTTCCTCCCGCCTTTCCCTAAGCAGCCTGTGCGTTATGTAAGTTTATTTGCACTGGCATTAGATTGTTTCTCAACACGGCCATTCTCTTGGGTCAGCCCAGTGTTTTTCAAACTTGGCAACTTTTAAGAAGTGTAGATTTGACTGGTGAATTCTGGGGGTTGAAGTCCACACACCTTAAATTTTCCAGGTTTGAAACTCATTGGCCCAGCCCTTGCCTATATCGTACCCACCACTGCGGGGGCATATGCATCCATTGTGAAGTTTAAAAAAAGTAGATTCTCATCCACCACATATTTGTTTAAAATATAATGTAATTCGTTTGGAGATTATCATTTTAATTGGAATGTCTAAAAGTAATGCAAGATCTATTTTTCTCTCAGAACAACCGCCTTATAAAGGAGATTGTTTATTATACCTATCTTCATTATATTTATCTATCTCTCAAATTTTTGCACCGCCCATCTCACATAAGTGACTATGGGTAGTTTACAAACAAAATAAAACAATATAAAACATAATTAAATGCACACTTAAAAACAGAACACAGTTAAAATTTACAAATTAAAAGTGAAAAATGAACGTTTAAAAGATTAGGCTGAGAAGGAACAACTGGCCCCAAATCACTGAGCTTTTATGAATGCAACTAGTAAGTGCGTCTCCTGGTGGTTCTTATTATTCCCTGTCATAACCTCTTGGCTTGCTAATATTTCTGTCCAATATGGGGGTTTCCTAGCTATAATTGCATAATAAATTTATTAATTAAGCTGATTTTCTGCTTTCAGGGGATGCAGCAAAAGAATCCACACAATATGATAGGCTAAAATGTAACTGATTACTATGTGCTTCACAACACAGTGTGAACCTGCAACAAGTGGCAGAATTATCAATTTTTGCCTAATCTCAGAAAGATAAGCAATAACTGGTTGCACGGGAGATAAGGCTTTGGCAAATCAGTTCAATGTTATTTCCAAGAAATATGATTAGTAGAAATGCTTGCTTACAAGAAAGTCAATTCAATTTGAGGAACACTTTATTCTTGAAGGGTTGCATGAGCCAATCATTGTTGGCTGTAAGCAGTGTTGTTTTTAATTAGTTTGGGGTACAAAGCCAATCAGTTTAGTTTACACTATTAAATTTGTTCTTCTCCAGCTATTCTGATTTATATCACAAACTATGATAAATAAACTGTGACTTAAAAGAAAGCAAATTCACACATTATTTGAACACCCACCCACCCTGATATCTTAAGACTATTATTCCCAGATCTGCCAGCAAGCAAATATTTTCCACATATTTGGAGGGGACCAGCTGAGGAAAATTGGATTCAAAATATTCAGAAAGGCTTAATGAATCCCCAGATAAATGGTTATCTAATTAATTAATGTATCCTTTATTCCATTGTGGATCTGCATACAAATTACATTTTTCAACTTATTTTTATTCATGTTAATCCTTGGGTTTTACTTAGAACAATTCTCTTCCCTGGAGGTTTATAATACCAAATAATTAATTTGATGCAGGGGAATAAATTTACAAACTAATTAATTTGTAATTTATATGGCAAAAAAGTCACATAATGGATGTATGAAGTTTATAGTGTATTACACTGTTTTTAATACCACTATCTAGATTTAAATAATCTCTTAGTAGCTGTGTTAACATTAATTTAAAAACAGATAAAAAGGCACATGTATTCATAAAGCAAAATAAAAATGCTCTTGGTCAGCAATTGCTTTATTGATGTCATGGATGAATTCAACAACACACTGTCAAGTTTTATTTAACTGTTGGCAGGATTCTCACAAAACAAAATCTATACAAATGCATTGTAAAACAAAGTAATAACTGCAAGTAAATAAAAATAGTGAAAATGGGATTATGTTTTTAGAACTAGCCTAGGCATTTAGTTTGCTCCAAGTGAAGAAATTAAAACTCAGATTATTGAATCAATATTTTTTCTGTCACAATCTTACATAACTAGCAATAGCATAGCACAGTGGTGGCGAACCTATGGCACGTGTGCCAGAGGTGGCACTCAGAGCCCTCTCTGTGGGCACGCACGCCATTGCCCCAGCAGAGTTCACCAGAATAGCGAGCATGTGGCGTTTGGAAGTGATGGGGCAGGAAGTGAGCAAGCAAGCTGAATTGGCCCCCTGGGGATCCCCCAGAGATGGCGAGGGACTGGTCCCCGCCAGCCTGGTCCTAGCCCGTCCACCCCAGCCATGCCCACCCAGTCTGACGTGACCACCACAGCTGTGACCACCACAGCTATGCCCACCCAGTGGCCATGCCCCCCCACTGTCCCTGAGAGCACCACAATGCTGATGCGACCCTGGCACTTTGCAATAAATAAGTGGGTTTTGGGTTGAATTTTGGGCACTCGGTCTCTAAAAGGTTCACCATCACTGGCATAGCACTTAGACTTATATACTGCTTCATGGTGCTTTACAGCCTTCTCTAAGCAGTTTACAGAGTCAACATATTGTGCCCAACAATCTGTGTCCTCATTTTACTGACCTCAGAAGGATGGAAGCCTGAATTAACCTTCAGCCAGTCAGGATCAAACTCCTGGCAGTGAGTAGAGTCAGCCTGCAAGACAGCATTCAAACCACTGTGCCACAATGGCTACTAATTTTAGCATTCACCACACGACTTTTTAAAAATAGTTAAATATCATGACTTGTAAAACCAAATATTTCTTTCCTTTGCAATATGACAATCCATTGTTCCCATTATAATGGAATTTTTAACCCTCCTGTATCAGTTCAGACAGCTGTATTTGAATCCACTATCTCATAAGTACTTGCTACAGGATGTCTCCATCTTTTACCCTTGCGATTGTGATTAACAATGTTTTTGTGCACAAAATGTAAACAATATTTTCAGCAAAAAAAACTGTCAGGGAATCAGATGTAAGGAATGTATCAGACTGCAGCCCCTCCCCAACCCCTTGTTTTATGAAATGCAAAATCTGGGGCTCACAATGATGGACTGATTATGTGCCTTCAAGTTGCTTTTGACTCTTTGTGTTCTCATAGTTCTCTTCTCCCACGTTCTTAGCATACCCAAGACCACTGTCCATCCATCTTCCTTGCTGCTGGTATTGTCTTTTCTTCCATCTTTCCCATCAATATAGATTTGGGACCATGTAATGTGTCCAAAATTTCAGTCTAATAATTTGCATCTTAAGTGAGAATTCTGAACTGATTTGTTTTATGAAGTCACTTTGTGAGTAAGGTGGACCGTTTATTAGTTGTCCTAGTTAAAGTTATGGGATTATTATACACAAAATTATTCAAACGTGAACTGATAATAAGGTTGCTTCTGTACCATACAGTAGGTTAAAAAGTGGTTTGTTATTTTTGGACTTTTTGGATTCTTTTCAAGATAATTATTTATTCTCTGGACTAGATTTTAATGATGCAAAATCCATTAAATCAATGGGTTAGCACTTAAGCAAGTTCCAATTGAATTGATTTCAGTGTTTATAACAGTAATATACTAAATTTGGAGTTGGAACCAAACTTCTGAAACTGGGAAATTACACCCGAGAGACTTATGAAAGAAGCTCTTTTTGTAGACATTAACGGACAGTGATAAAAGAGTCCTACAGTTAAGAGTAAACACTATATTCAAACTGCATATTTGATATGATTATTTTGTCCAAATATATATATGAAAAAAGCCTTATTGCTATAAGCGCCAGAAGGATCCATTTTTTCCCCCCCGAATAACTATCAGAGCATTCCTTTTCGGATTTTTAGCAATTTCTCTTCAAACTCCAAAAACCATCTAGAGAGAGTTACTACTTCATTTCCCGGAATCCTTTGCGGTCGACGGCCTCGTTTGTCCCCCTCTTGCTCATTCCATTGGCTCCCAGGATCGACTCGACCTATCGGCTATGATCTTGCTTTGACCTACTTGTTGCCAGGCAAAACTGCAACAGGGTTGCCTAGGTTTCCTAACGCAGCCGCGGCCTGCAGTTTTCCGAGTCCGAAGCCTCGCAGTAGGCACCGGCTATGCTACGACCCGCGACCGTGAAGGGCTGCGATGGAAGGCGATAAGGTGAGCGGCAATTCTTATGCAAACACGGTAAAGGAGGCGGCGGAGGAAAGGGAGGGCCTGTTCTTTGCAGCTTGCTCGGGAAGGGCTCCATTTGCGGTGCCTGGCCTGGGGAGAGGAAGCTGGCCGACTTTTGTCCGCAGGCTGGGCAAAGCTAAACCAAAATCAACATTGCTGTCCCGCGGCGCATCTCTTGCACGTAATACTAGCGGGATCCACGCATTACTCCCACCGTGATTCACTTGTTACCAGATGGGAGTATCGTGTGAATCTGCCCTAAGACCTCTGCTGAACCGTGAATCCTAATCTATAGCCGGTGAATTCAGCCTCTCTTGGTTTATTTGATAAAATATAGTTAAGCATACCGTGGCTTAGCATAATGCGTGAACTAGTTCTTTGTCAAGGTGCATAGACGTATCTGGAATTAAGCCAGATAGACGTAGCAGAATTTATTTCTGAGCAAGTATGAATGGGATATGGCTGCATGTAATCTG